AGGCTGACTCCTGGAGGGCTTTATCAAACAAAATCATCCACAGCCTCATTTCCCTGTCCCGTCGGGCCCCTGTGGTCAATTTTGTGCAGTGTGGGCACTTCTGTGGGAAATGAGCTTCCCCGAGGCACTGGATACATGAGGAATGCCCATCAGAGGTGTCGCACTTCTTAAAGCCGGGTGAGGACGGCATTTCTAATCTTTAAGTGGAAAAGATTTATTTGTTTTTGGTTGAACCAGAAATTTTCTCTATCTTATATATATAACTATGTACAACACCACATAGGGGATCCTAGGAAAAACGGACGTAGGAATGAGAGAGGAAAAACTTTAGGATATTTTTTTTTTTTGAAAACTAGGAGGAATGATAGGAATAAGTAAAAGCAGGAAGAATAGTAACTTTTAACAAGAACAATCTCACAGTAAGGAGGGAAGTTGAAGAGACCAATTCACTCCGTCTGCAGCCTGAGGCGGTTGAGAGGAACTGGCGAGGGCCGGACCGCGCACTCACACAAAAGAGCACGAATGCCGTGAGACACAACCTCGCATGTGCAATCCAGCCAAGTACTGCTACTGGAAAAATCTCTGTTCTGCGGTGCCGGGGCAAGCCCAGCACCTACTGTGGAGCACCCACAGGGACATCACTCAAAGAAGAACTGCCAGCTGTGTAGACGTGGACTAAGTTATTTCGGAATAGCGCTAGTTATTTTGAATAGTATTGAAGTGTAGACGTACCCTAAGATTGGTATGTGGATTCGGTATTACAATTTAATGATGCTTCTTACTGGGTGCTTTAGTGGCTGAGGCCAGAACACTGACAAGCCTGCACAGGGTGTTTTGGGTCTTATGGGCACTCGTGGCATTTTCTAAAAGGACTATAAGCAATTGCTGTGGGCTGGCAATACTTAGTTAAAAGTGGTGAAGAAAGAGGCAGGACTGGAACATGGTTAAGGACATGTCTGATAGTATTCTCAAAAGGCCTCACTGGGATATTATACCCTAACACAAGGCCTACTGGTCTAGACATGCCTCAGGCATGACATTCTTAACACTCATCACACACATCCTTTGGAATGGGCATATGCAGCACGCTTGAGACTTTCACACTCACTATCTCCTCGTTACAAAATGAATCAAATGCACTGCAGATTATTACTGCACATAGGGAGGAACAAAAAAGAGACACACTCAGGCTGTTTCAGTAAGTGCAAATGCAACCAATATATAGGCTCCGTTTGATTTATTTGATCTCATCCTCTGCTCTCTTGATGAGAAAATGTTTTCACAATTTCACATTGTTTAGGAAGCTTCATAAGCCCAATGGTTTTTATTTTTGTATTTAATTCTAATCAATCATAGAGATTGTATGTATTGCCCTTTCAATGACAGGCTGGTTTAACCCCTTTCCAGCAGTTTGCAAACATTAATAATTTGCTGGAACCATAAGAATGGAAGTCAGAGACTGCTTTTTACACCCAATTTATAGATTTCAGTATAAAATGAGCTGTTAAACAATCCCCATTATAATTTTCTAAATTATAGAAAAGTAGCCCAGCAGAAAAAATACTTAGCTCTGTGACACAATTTGGAACTGTTTTTTGTTTGTTTCTTTGTTTGTTTGTTGTAGGAAGTTTCAGCAAAAACATAAATCATTACATAGATCCAAATATAATGCTGAAAATGTCAAATTTTGATTTTTAAACCCACTACTGTCCCATGAGCAGAAGAGTAGGTATCTCTGTGAAAAGATTTCACTCTTGCACATAAATGAGGCTATGAACCATGTGCATAATACAATCCTCACCTCTCTTAGAACCTCCCTTAGGAGTTGGGATCCACACCGGAGAAGAGGCAGGGACTAGATTGGCTATATGCTTAGTATAAACTACTCATCACCAAGTGAGGAGATCATAAATGGACCATTTGAAATAACACTGAACTTGGACATGGAATCTGTAACAACTCAGAACCTGAGTAATGTGCAGATTCTGGTCCACATCTGAACTTTCACATTGGGGCCCATCTCTAGTTGCTAGGACACAAGAATGGTGCTAGTAGACTGTGATGATGCATGCCAACATAAAAACATAGGAAGAATAGTTGTCTAAACAAAAGATTCTCTCCCAATGCCTAAACTTTCTTCCTCCATAACTGATGAAGGTGTAAAACAGAAACAACAAAAATACTGAGATTTAAAAATAAAAGATAAAGTATGAAAGCTCACTGAATGCAGATGAGAACCATAATCTTATTTTTCGTCATTTAAAGGACATCCTTATTCAAACAAAACACCTCTATTTACAGAGCTAAAATAAAAGATCTGCTCTTATTTGTTCATGGAATTACTGACTTACTCACCACACACACACTTACACTTTTTCAGAACAGCTCTAAGGGGAAAAAAATCCCTGCCGTGTTAATCATTATACCTCTTTGCCCAGCTCTCAAAAGACCCACATGAGGTGCCATGAAAATAGATGACTTATGTAAGCTCTATTGCTTGCAAATATAGATAATAAATGCAATACAGCATTACCAAATACATTGGCTTTTAAATAGCTGAGTACAGATTTGGCTTGTTGTAAAGTAGCAGAGTTATACAGATCACTCTAGCATTCTGTGTTATGCTTTTGCAGTCTGACGCTATAGGTCAAACTGAGACAAGACATCAGAAGGCACAAGCATAATTAACTTTAAATACATATTTTATGTATTTATACCATGGACAATATGGTCCTATTAATTTAACTCTACCATTCTAAATACCAATGTGACTGGCAGTCAGCAACACAATCTTAGTAGTACCAGAGTTCTCAAATTATTTTATCATGTAAAAACCATTTCAAAAGATTATCTTGCAGACTCTCCTTCATTGTATAGTCACATGGATCACACTTCCTTCACTGGTGGTCAAATAATACCTTTGTGTATTGTGACAGCTACGGCAGTTTCTTACATGGAAAAGAAAATATTAGTAAAGCATTTATTGTATTTTCAGCTCAACTTCAGTATGATTTACTAGCTAGAAATACAAAGGTTACATAGTGCAACATGAGCAGAGACTCTTGGGAATCACCAAAGGACCAGATAACAGAGTTTAGTAAACTCAGTAGTAACCTATTATGATCTGAAGTAAAGGTATTGATATTATCATAAGTATATTGCAGTAGCAGCAATACGCCAGCCTGGTCCGGACTCTGTTGTGTGAGTTGCTGTATAAACTTAGTAAATGACAGACCCTGTACCAAAGTATTGACAGTTTCATTCCTGGACATGATGAAAAATGGTGTCTGTCTTTACAAAATAGGTGACATTCAGTGATTAAATTATTCTCTAGTCTCTATTATTTGTTAGCTCTACTGACCTATATGCTAAATCCCTGGAGGTGTACATCTTTATGGGTGATCCTGTCATCCAAGATTCAAAATGCCAGTCTTGTATCACTATACACTAAAAAATTCATTTGAAAATGAATACAAGAGAATTAAGTAGCAGACCATCTAATCAATGCAACAGGGGACTATATACTTTACACCTAAAACTTATGTAATTGTACTGTCTCTCTCTTTCTCTCCTCTGTATTAAAAAGGGAAGATAGCATTGTGCCCCAAATTATGAAGACTATATTTATTTTAGAGTACATTGATATCTATTTAATTTATTTGCAGACAGCTTTAGAGGTGCTGTAAAAAGGTGGCGTAAGAGGTGGTTTCCATTCCTTGTGCATCTAGAGAAGCAATTACTGATGCTATGTTGACACTTTTGTATATCAACTAACTACTCTCAGCAAGTTGGTTATGTACAAACTACCCTAAATTACATTGTTGCAGATTTCAGCTTTATTCAGACTTCTCATACTGTGTGAAATAAACTACAGTTTATGCTGTGTAAAAACAACTAAAGGAATACTTTATTGTAACAAAAGTGAGGATAAGGGGTGCCTTTGTGATGCAGAACTTAGTAAAATACTAAATGGTAGATGAAACTGAAAAAAATTGACTATAATCAGAGAGATGATGTAATTGTTAAGGGAGAAAACACTGAACTGTTACTTTCATTCTTAGCTCAGAATGGAAACAGTTGTAATTAAGGTGTCTGGTAGGATCTCATCATATTTTCTGTTGCAGGATTATATTATTTTATATACATTTTAAAACAATCCAACTTAAACTGTTTTCATTAAACCTTCTTAGCCACGGAGAGCTGATTTAAATGTTGAAAGACAAATACATTAACATAAATCCTGTGAATCTATTCTATATTTGTTCTGGTTGTTGCACTTTCTACCACAATGAGGTCCCTGCTAACACAGATTTAAAATATCTAACAATTCACTTTTATTTGGGATTAGCTTCCTGTGTCATAAAAAGAGCTTGAGTATCTCCAACAAATACCTTTTACTTCATGTTACAGTGGAAATTTATTTTCCACGCTTCTAGCATAACAGGGCTCATATCTCCCAATAAAGAAAAAGATCAAGACATTTCATACCTAATTCAATGCTGAATCCTGTAACATGCAGGAAATATACTGTAAGTATTCAAAACTGGGGACGAATTAATGGGGTCTGTCTATTGGCTTGAAAATCTGAACTAAAACCAAAGCTAAGGAATATTTAACAATTTTTACCTGATTATCTGTCACAACTTGCTTGACTTTACATTAGCCTTCTTAAACAGACATGCTTTAGCCAAACCAAGAGATAACAGAATTAGTATTTACATAGCACTTTTCATATTGAAGGTAGATTCCAAAATAATGTACACAGAACATCTCTTTATAAAGAGGTAAACTTTTATACCATTTAAAAGAAAGCTTGTTTTAGACCAATGCTATTCATACCTCAAAAAACTTATACCTGATATATGTCTTGGTGGGCAGTTTATTTACAATAAAGACATCAGTGAAAATTACACATATTCTCTCAGAGATTTTATCATTTAAATTAGCTCTAATGTGCCAGTTATTCAATCAGAAAGAATGCATGAAGATACTTTACTTACTGCATTATCTCCCAAAGCTGTTTTGATACTAAGCCTTACTTTGAAAGCATTTTGTGCATCTGATACAAAGAGAGAAAAAGAAAGCAATAAACATAAAATAATCTTGGGAAATTGTTTTTAAATTATTTCCTTTTCCAGTTGTATTACAGATCAGAGCATAGTCATAAAAGCTTCTAAATGTATCATAACTTATCACATATGATTACTTATTATTATTAGGAGAATATAATGTCATTAATGACCAAGCTTGCACACCATGGATTCCTAATATGGCTCAAAGAATACATCCTCAAACTCAATACAGAAGTCTTACAAATATATGTCTAAAAAGAGGCCAGCTTTGAAAGTGTTCACCAAACTGAAACTTTCAACTGATAAAGGATGAGGCTCAATTGCAAAACTTACCTGGCCTGCACAGCTCAGCATGAGCTAGGGCAACCAAGGAGAAAACAAGCAGCAAAACCCCTAACATCCTTTCAGAGTGGAAAACTTTGGTCAAAAGAAAAATGTCACCTCGGTAAAGCAGTCTTAAACTTTCTGTGACCCAGGATTAAAGCATCAGCAGAAAAAATGAGCAACTAAGTCAAAGGTTTAATAATTAACCCTCCGTTATTTTGGCTAAAACTATCATTGGAAAGAATCAATTTTGACTATTTTTTTCTTTTAAGCAAAGAAAGAAATAAGATACATTTAATATTCTTCCTCCAGGCTATTTCCTAAAACAATCAAAATCTTTTGTATGCTACCCATAACTATACCATATGAGCTAGTTGGTCATGATTTCTGAAACACATACCAACAATGTCTGAGATCATAAGGTACTTAATTCAGGGCCAACCTGCAGATTTAGTAGCTGTGTGATGTGTTCTCACTCACAGGATGTGAAGTTGTACTGTGCCACCACTGTGTCTATTTATTGAAATGAGGTTTACCAAAGCAGTCGACAAAGGCTTCCCTTGTTGACCGCGCTGCGTCTAGACTGTCGCACTGTGCCAGATCAGCTGATCGTCAGCACAACGTGGCGGCCATTTTTATTTTAATGAAGCGGGGATTATTTAAATCCCCGCTTCTTTGACTATGCCAAGTAAACTATTTTACATGGCTCCATCGACGGAGCCATGTAATCTAGACGTACCCTTCATGACTGCTTACTTTGCTTAAGACCCTTTGGTGAGGGACCTTGTCAAAGGCTGTCTGAAAGTCCAAATACATTATACCCCCAAATTACTCATGTGGCACTCTCAGCCAGCCCCTTTCACTTGCCTGGTGATTGTCTTTTTTGTATAGTTTTAGGAGAAGAAATCCCATTCCATAGAATCACAGAATCATAGGGCTGGAAGAGACCTCAGGGGATCATCAAATCCAGCCTCCTGCCCAAAGTGGGAGCAACCCCAACTAAATCATCCCAGCCAGTACTTTGTCAACCTGAGACTTAAAAACCTCTAGGGATGGAGATTCCACCAACTCTTTAGGTAATCCAGTGCTTCACCACCCTCCTAGTAAAATAGTTTTTCCTAATGTCCAACCTAGGCTTCCCCCACTACCACTGGAGACCATTGCTACTCATTCTGCCATCTGTCACTACTGAGAACAGCCTCTCTCCATCCTCTTTGGAACCTCCCTTCAAGTAATGAAAGGCTGCTAGCAAATCTCCCCTCACACTTCTCTGCTGCAGACTAAACAAGCCCAAATCCCTCCGCCTCTCTTTGTAAGATACGTGCACCAGCCCCCTAATCATTTCCATTGCCCTCTGCTGGACCCTGTCCAATGCATCCACATCCTTTCTGTAATGGAGGGCCCAGAACTGGATGCAATACCCCAGATGTGGCCTCACCAGTGCCGAATAAAGGGGAAGAATCTAGATCTGCTGACAATGCTCCTCCTAATGCAACCTAATATGCCATTAGCCTTCTTGGCTACAAGGGCACACTGTTGACTCATATCCAGCTTCTCATCCACTGTAATTTCTAGGTCCTTTTTCAAGGACCTGGAAATTATAGGTCCAAACTGCTGCTTACTCAGTAGGTCCCCAGCCTGTAACAGTGCTGTTCCAGGCACAGCCCATTTTTCTGGCAGATTTTCCTCCTTTAAATGAAGATAAGAGGAAGCTGTATACCAAATGTGCTGGTCCTAACTCCTTCCGTTTAGGAGGAGTTCTTGAACAGACAGACAAACTCTTTCAAATATATGGTAGATGAGCACTACAGACAGACACTCATAAATTAAACTGCACAGCAACATCAACAAAATTTGCAGTCCCAAACTTTCCCCAGAAATATATGTTTTGTACTGCCTTGTTCTCTCCTGGACAACACAAGCTCATTTAAAGCCTGTCATTTAATTAATAGAAAATGGTATGTATAAATCCTGTTATCCCAAATGGAATTCCCCAAACACTTCCATCCAAAATACATTGATTAAGGTGAATCAATAAAACTAGCTTATTAACTACATAAAGATACATTTTCATTGATTACAGGTAATGAGGCATAGACGTCAGAATTGGTTTCAAGAAGATAAGAATAAAATGCAACTAATACCTATCCTATCAGGCTAAGTGAATTCAAAGCAAAGGTCTCTTACATAAATTATACTTAATTTATATTTTTAAACTTGTGGAGGCAATTAAGATGGATTTAGCAAAGTACTACAGTATTCTGTTTCCTCCTCACATTTAAATATCTTTGAAATGGAACATCCCAAGACACTAAAGTATTTATTGATTTCTGTGTGTAGTGTTGTTATAGCCATGTTGTCTCTAGTAGCCTGAGATCAAAGTGGATGCAGTAATATCTTTAAATGGACAAAGTTCTAAAGGCTTGTCTCTCTTACCAGCAGAATTTGGTCCAAGAAAAGATATTACCTTACCTACCTTGTCTATTTATAGCCATTGTATAAGTTAATTAATAGCTATAGCTATGCTTCATCCTGATTTTCTGTTTCACCAACTAACAGTTTTCAATTCTGAGAAAGTTAATCTACCACTTGGGACTAAAAATTAACTATTATGCACAAAAGTATCAATGTGCTACTGTCAGCATTTAATCACTCACAGACCTAACCCTAGAAAGTGCCTAGTAGTTCCCACTGAGTTCAGTGGAATAATAAGGCACTCAGCACTTCTTCAAGTGATCAGAATTGTGCAGAATCAGATTCCAAGTGAACATAAAGTCCCAAAGTTATATGTCGATGTGTCCAATCCATCTCTATTAAACAAAATGACAAACTCCCATTATTCAGACAGTAGTTAGATTGGACTCATACGGTATGTCTAGACTGCACCCGTCTGCTGGCAGAGGGATACAGATTAGGCTGGGCGAAATTGCTAATGATGCGGGGATTTAAATATCCTGTCCTTCATGAGCATAAAAATGGCCACCGCTTTTTTTTGCCACGGAGCTTTGGCGGCAAAAAGCGGCAGTCTAGACGCAGATCTATCGCTAAATAAAGCCTTTGCTGATAGATCTCTTATACTTCGTTTTACAAGGCATAGGGGATCTATTGGCAAAGGCTTTATTTAGCGATAGATCTGCGTCTAAACTGCCGCTTTTCGCCGCCGAAGCTCTATGGGGGAAAAAAGTGTCGGCCATTTTTATGCTAATGAAGCACAGGATATTTAAATCCCTGCTTCATTAGCAATTTTGCCAGCCTAATCTGAATCCCTCTGTCGGCAGAGGGATGCAATCTAGACATACATAGTGACTGTCATGTATAAATAAAGCATATATTTATAACTAAACATAACTTGTGTCTTTTCTTTGTGCTCATAGAAGTGCCCAGTTTGATTGATATATGTCATTCACATCTGTAGCTTCTTACAGCAACTCTATATCTATTAGCTGTGCAAATGAAGGAGTGATCCCTGTGCAATTAATTCATGATTTATTTTTAATATATATTTTCAGCAAATACATTGTATGTTGAGAAGTCACTGTGTGTTCCCTTGAAATCTGCACACCAATGAGGTGGGAAAGATCACTGGAACTAGCACTAAGGATGGAAAAGAGGTGGGAGAGTGACTTCCTGTACATTGGAAAAGGATGGTGAAGCTGATCTTGTTTTTCCCTGGCTCAGACAGATGGCCATGTTAGTCTGTAACTTTAAAAACAACTTTTAAAAATGAGTAGACCTGTGGCACCTTAGGGCATGTCTACACTAGGAAAACTATTATGAAATTACTAAAATCAACTTAAGCGACGAGGAGTCCTGTGGCACCTTATAGACTAACTGAAGTGTAGGAGCATAAGCTTTCGTGGGCAAAGACCCACTTCGTCAGATGCATGCATCTGATGAAGTGGGTCTTTGCCCACGAAAGCTTACGCTCCTACACTTCAGTTAGTCAATAAGGTGCCACAGGACTCCTCGTTGCTTACTCCTCGTCGCTTTTTCAGATTCAGACTAACACGGATACCCCTCTGATACTTAAAATCAACTTAATAACTCCCAATTGAATAAAATCGAAACAGTATGTGCCCACTATGGGGAAGCATCGATATTAGTTAGAATAAGTCCAAAATAGCACGTCCAGATTGAATGGAGCCTGCCTTGAGTTTAGAAGCACTGTGGGGAGGGCACCAGGAGGGCAGATACTTCCTGTGGCTGCTTAGTCAGGCAAGCTTTCAGGGGCTCCTCGCTACGCCCACAAGCCACTCCTGCACTGCCTCCCCCTTGTGAGACACAAAAGGGATACAGTGGGCATGTGCCTTCTTGTGCTCTGGTTGCCCTTGCAGATGCCACAGCACTCGCAGCACAGAGCCAGAGCTGCTGCAAAGCAGTGCTAGGTTCATGGACCTCGTGCTGTGCCTCACGGCGCAAGCTTTCAGGGGCTCCTCGCTACGCCCACAAGCCACTCCTGCACTGCCTCCCCCTTGTGAGACACAAAAGGGATACAGTGGGCATGTGCCTTCTTGTGCTCTGGTTGCCCTTGCAGATGCCACAGCACTCGCAGCACAGAGCCAGAGCTGCTGCAAAGCAGTGCTAGGTTCATGGACCTCGTGCTGTGCCTCACGGCGCAGTACTCAGCAGGAGGCACCACAGCATGGACTGCAGACCCTGCTCACACAGATCCTGGCGCTCCTGCTGCTGCGCATGTTCCTCAATCCCCAGGACACTGTGGAATGCTGTTTCTGGAAGCAAGAGACAAGTTCAGACTGGTGGGACCACACATCCTGCAGCGATGGGATGACCAGCAGTGCCTACAGAACTTCCGCATGCAGAAGGCCACCTTCCTGGAGTTCTATGAGTGGCTCACATCTGCTCTCAGGTGACAGGACACCTACATGCAACCTGCCATTCCCGTGCAGAAGCGTGTGGCCATCACCCTGTGGAAGTTCATCACACTGGACATCTACCATTCAGTTGGGAACCAGTACATCCCCATCCAAGCAGGGAAAGGAGGGCAGGAAAAGGGAAGGGTGGGTGATGAAAAGCACACAGAGGGAATAACTAGAGTTATTTTGAAATAACATAGTTTGCGTCTACACAGTCAGCAGTTATTTTGACATAGGGTGTGTGTA